GTCAGCAACTTGCCATTCATTCTTCCCTTACTCTATGGCTAGTCCATAGGGTGAATTTGCCGTTGTATATAGAGAACATCATAACCATACTGATAATAACTTTACTAATGTGCAACCATTTGTTCAAAAATACAAGCCGGTTCCCCATAGTGTTGAATAACGTTTACCTTGATTCCATTTCTAATTTGTAACTTACTGGATACATCAAGTAATGAATTGTTTAATGTGGGGTTTTCGCACCTTCTATAACTAGATTTCAGAATAAAGGGACGCGCTCGAATCCAGGTGTACATGCTTGTTTCTCATAGCTGTGGGTTAGCAAGTTCATAGTTTGAATTTCACCTTCTCTGGCTTATATTTATGGACTAGGTAACTAAGATTTCTTCGTCACTGCAGGCCTTCATTATAGAATATGGTCTTTTTATATTTTTACTGCAGCTGATATTTTGTTTTGTTTTTTGCTTGAAACACGTTTCGATAAACATTACTATGATCCTAATAGTGTTTAAACCAACTACTTGCTAAAAAAGTGCTCACTTATTATTCAAGTCCTCCGGATCGTTTTCGTGCCCAGAAAAACGCTACAGTTTAATCTGCCTCTATGACCTTTTTCCAAGGAAGTACTTCCTCGCGCAGGTCAACACAATGAAGTGGCACAACTTTTCCGAAACCTCAACCGAGTACCCTCTGTTTCTATCTGCAACACACGCAGTAACCACTTCGTAGGGACTTCTATATCTAAGTCGCCTAAAACAAAACGGGTTACGTAGGGATATACTATTCTCGTTATTATATTATGCCACACAAATCTTAGTTGAACGAAGAATGCTACAGTATAAACGACACTGCCAAAGAAAAATTAGGCGCACATGACAACTGTCGAACTAAGATTATTTAGGATAGTGAAAACTACTCGTCGTACTTTTGTCACTTCTAACACGTATTTGAAACCATCCTTCATAGGCTGATGCAGTGTATATAATGTTGCTTTCTGGGCCTGCAACCAGAAGGCCTCTCGATACATCACAACAGGCGATGCTATTTTACATTTTCTGTACATGTAACGTGGAACACTCACATCTATCCCAAGCTTCCGTATCTCCATATATTGTAATAACGGATCTGCGCGGCTCATCGTTCGTTTTTAAGAAACGCTACAAAAACCCTCTCCACCTCATTGGTGGTGAGAGTCGTCACCAGGACACACATGTACATGTACCTTCAGCTAGTCGACTTCGGCGGCCATTTTTTTCGAAGTGGTCCACTCGAACTTTGGCGGGCGCGTGTAGGTTTTCAACAATGTGTACGGAACATGCTCCCCCGTTCTGCGATGTCAAAAAACAGAAGGAATTGCACTTACAGTCAACGACAATCCCAAGGGTTTTTTTACGCATCGTCGCCTATCAAGCCGCAACGTTTTCAACGTGAGTACCATAAAGGCCCGAAGCATGGCGCTCGATATCTCAGAACAGCACGAAAAAACGAGAAAAACATAGGTGGGAGTAGAACGGAGAAAAGGGCTTTCCAGCATCCCCTATGTATCGAAGCAGTCGTAACAATAGCAGAGGTAGTGGTTGGGCCTTCTGGAGAGGACCGGCCAGCCGACTTTCAGGTCATTGCATCGAGATTGTCTGCGATCTCGGTAGAAATGGTAAAATGAGAACCAAATTGGTGCTGAAATAGTCAGACGACCATAAGTGATATCCTGCTGAGTGTGTGCGTGTAAACAGTGAGTAACGAGTTGAAGCGGGGCCTTATAACTCATACGGATTAAAATTAGATTACATAGGTGGGAATATTGATTTTGATTTCTGGTGTGGAGTTGTAACAGTAGTCGCATAACGAACAGACCAAATTGCAGTTGCATTATTAATAAAGTTCTGACTGAGATAAGAATAAACGCTAATTTATTGGCCGTCTTATTTGAAAGGCTTACATAGGGCACAATAAGGTACATACGTGCTCCTTTTGTTCCTTCACTGTCTAGACGATGCTTTCCAGCTGTGGTACTATAAGGATTTTGATATTATTTCTTTTCTATCAAATCTCCTCTTTCTATTTTCTGGCTTTTTTAGATACGAGCATTTTTGCTTCACTAAAAACTCACTATATTAACTATCTTCGCAATAATAACCGAATCTCAGCAAAATTTGTATAAAGTTCATGTGCGACTCGATAAATTATAGTGCATCTTATAACTTCCTTCTATTGCGTATCGTTTACTCTCTAAACGGCTAAATTCTGTTTAGCGTAAACTAGAAGTCTGCTAAGCCTGTTACTAAGAGAATTAGGTTCTTAAAGATGGCATAACGTTTTGTCCTGCGCGTACTGTAGTTAGCAAATACGTAAAATGACATCAAAAAAGGCTCATAAACTAAGCTAACCCATATATTTTAGAAATTATTTTTGATAAAGTATATTTTTTAGCGATGTCTAATAAATACTAGTTAGTAATAAATAAAGTAGTTGTAATTCTAGAAGAAAAACCTCCTTAAACAACGTCTTTGTTTGTATGATGTATTTACAACCCTACTTTTGAGTTTTCAGTGTTGAATTCTCTCCTTCTTCCACCTAAGTTTTCTCGGTTGCACAAAAGTCGTAGGGCTATACCAAATTAGGATCGGCATGGTGAAATCAACGATCCTTAGTTTGAATGACACTACCAGCGGCTACAACTATAACCGATATTCCAAATTTCCCAAGTGTACATTCTACAAACAGGTACAGACAGATACTACGCACTCATGGGCTGGCAGTGAAAACGGAAAGCCAATATCTATTTTGTACCGTTAAAAAGTATCGCCTAGGTTGGTTTTCATCGTATCTTCTATAGGACTGCCATGAGCCTGTAATAATACTGGACACATTGTGCACCATTACTGAATATCTTTTTCAAGAGCCTGTCCACGCTAGGAGTAAATGACCTCATAGAATTCAAATACAACTTCCGTCTAAAACATTCTAAGGAATTATACTACCTAACGGGAAACATGTGAATGATATACAAATAAATACCAACTAGCAGTTTACTACTTATCAAGAAAGGCTACTGAAGAAGCAGATTTCAGATGCAGTAGCCGTTTCGTATGACAATTCAAAAGAAACGCAGTTTACCCTAGTTTACTCTAGTTGAGTGAGATCTAACATTGTTTTACCTTTATTTGGTTATCGAACTTGAAACTAGAAAAACCTAAGGACTATCTTAAAACTGATACAGTGCCGGAGTAATGATGATTGAAACAAAGCACGAATATATAGTGTTTCTAAAGGACTGATAGTGCAATATGGCAGTCATTTTAACTGGTGAAATCCAACTGATGCTTTATACCCTCTACGAGCTTCGCGTACGGAGTCCGCCGAAAAATTAGGAAAAATTGACATTGGGGATATCTTAGACGAAAATATATCCTTTGGAAATAATTTGGAGTGTTTGTAATTGGTAAAACGACAGTTAATAAATGTCACATTAGTACTCGGTAACGCGGTATGTTTCTAAACTATATATTATTAAATATCGTTTCAATCACATACCCAGTAGTAACTTTACCCCAATGGCATATAATTGGAGTAATTCAAGATAGCAGTATATATTCTACTTAAATGACAACACGGATGGTGTATTAGGTACGTAATGATTAAGAAAGAATTGTATTTACAGCATAATAACAAAGCCTAAATTGAGTGCAATAGGCCCTAAGTAAATAATTATCATTATCATCAATATTAATGTATTTAATCATCATCATCATCATCTCTTCTCTACCATTATCATTAGCATTGTTATATACGCATTAGCAATTGTTACTATTGTTATATATAGTCATTATTTCTATGTGTTTAAATTACAAGACAGTTACGCTATGTTCGTATGCTTATTTGTTTGCTTCTATGTTTTTATATGTTTGTATTAGCAATCACATAGCCTTCCCTCTCTTTCTATTCAATGCTAAAAGTGTACAATAGAAATATACATGAGGTCGACTACCGGTGGAGCGTCTTAGTACACAATCAGTCATTCATTTGTCCCATAAACGCAATTTCACTGATTTCGCCAATTAATTCTACCAAAATTTTATACACATTTCTACAGGAGTCCAATACATTGCCCCATCTATCGTCGGTTATCTATTTTCGGGACACGGCATTAGCAGGATGCACCTTGAACAGGTACTATCTGAACTATTTGAGATTCGTATGAATGTTTATCTGTTGTCACTCGGTTGCCAAGCCCTAAAAGAGGCCGCTGTTTCTCTCTGTCGATTGAATGTAGATTTTATAAAATGGAAAATTTCAAGTTGAAACAAACTCGGTAATGTTGCTATGGATGTAATTATTTTTTGTATTTTTGACGACATTTTTAAGTGGTTTCGACAATGACGACTAACAATTAGTTAATAGGTCGGTACTTCGCCATATTCTTCGCTAAAACCCTGCATTTCGCGTCTCTTCCTTTCGTCTCGTATGTAAACCACACTCGTTCAGCTCCTTGCAAGACAATTTCCTATTTCACATCACACGACATATCCACTGATCAAATGCTTTTAATGTACGCCAGCTGTACATAGGAGAGTCTGAATCTGTTCCAAATTGCGACATCACTCATACCGAGAGATATTCTAAAATTTCAACCTACTCAGAATGGCCTAAAGTGCGACATGAATATTTTGTCGCCATTTTATCTGAAATTCATTCTATATTTACTTGTATTATCCGATTGCTTTTCCTACGATCCCGTGCGGTAGTCGTGATACCCTAACTTGGAAGCGAAGTCTCCTTCCTTCGGCGAGTGTTTCTTGCCACACGTTCATTGTCTCATACAACTATGGCCACAGGTTTACGAAGACCCACGACATTCTTCACTCACTCACTCACTCACTCACCTTTGTCATAGACACATTTTATCTTCTTGTCTGTTTCCTGCTCTGTCTATTTGAAGGTTTACTGTCTGTGATGATATTGCCTGTCAGCAACGAGTTTTTTTTGCCTACTTCATCGTTTAATGGCCTTCCATTCTCTTTTTTTTTTTTAATATCGAAAAAGAATACTCTAATTTTGTTTTCTTCTAAGTGCATGAGCGTACTCAGCACAAGCTAAGTAAGTAGCAGCAAGTAAGATCTACCTGATAACTCTCTTAGTTCAGATCTGCAAAACAGTATCATTAGCTAAAGCGTTAAAATACATTTCTAAAAAAACGGGCCATTTAGAAAACGTTTTGTACGACTTGTAATTGCTCAATTTTTCCCAGCAATAACAAAAAGCAGATTTATAATCACATAGGGTCTGGAGGCGTATAACCGCGAAGTCGAACAACAAACACAATTAGAAAGTAACAGGAGTTGCTAGTAATTGAGTTACCGTAGCAAAATGAATGTCGCCTTGTTACGTTTCCTTTGACACCAAATTTACGGGAAACAACAAACGCACAACAGCGGTAGGTTTGTCGCCTACCAGTCAGGCAAACCTATTTTTATTGTTCTGTCAATATTATACAATGGAAATTTGGAGATAAATATCTGTTTTTTGTAAGTTTCTCCGGAACGACGGACTTGTTAGATCAGCACATGACCTTTCCATATACCATGAACGACTTACGATTATCTAATAGATAGCACATTGAGGAACGTAGTAAGATAATGACGTGAATAATATGTTTTTGATTAACACCGTTCTCCGCTACAATTATATCACTTCGTTGTCAAGTTTACAAACTCTCAACCCAAAGAACTACTTTATCTAGCTAAGAAAAATTGTCCGGACGTCAGTTTGCAGCGTCGGACCCTGAATCAAACTGTCCAATTGAGTTGATGCCTAAATTGTTTGCCTCTTTACCGCAGTAGAATAAATCACGTTTCACTGATGTCCAGAAACACCTTACACCTGTATTAGGTTTTTTTTTCTTCACTGGATAATATATGAGTGAACTTCTTATTTGATAACGATAAAAGAAAAGAAAATTTGCTACAGCGTGACACAGTGTTGTTTCCCAATGAAATTAAATAATATTAATACGGCACACTATTATTATCATCATTAAGATGATTAAAGGCGCACCTAGCCTTATTGTTTCACCAGTACATTTACATTGCCTTGTTTCTGTACACGCTGAACGGCTTCTCCTATATTACAGTTACGTCCACACGATCACAAATCTAATGTGTATAGCGTAAACCATGTTTGATGTTTTGTCGAGCCAGCTCGTATACGAAAGCCATTCCCACCCATGGGTTCGTCACGTGCTCATTTCATTGTTTTTCTACCATATCATCTGTATTTGGCTGTTAGACAAACACACATATACATACGCTTCGTCCATTGGTTCACGTGTGAGCAATTGGAGAGGAAAAGGATCATCTTATCCATACATATCTTGCAGCTAGTCAATTATCCTGCCATTCCAGAGTAAAGCTGACGAAAACTAATCATATTTTCCGGGGAGCGTAGGCGGCAGTTGTCCTTTAGGTTGAATAAACACACTCACACATATAGGCATACCGTTCAGAGACGGTCCTCAAAACCGCAATATCGTACAGCTCTCCTGAGAACTGACTGGTTTTCTGCATTCTATATCTGCTCAAGGTAAGTTCATTAATTATCTTTACTCATATCTTGCGATTAATACTGTTATACCATTATCTATAGGGTTCGTTATCGCTGCAGCTCCTTCTTCTTCTAAGACTCTTCGCAGGCTGTTCTCTCGCCTTGTTTGATTTTTTTTAAGCTGGCTTATTTATTCTCTCGCTCCATTCCAGTCCGACTTTACCGTCGTCATCAGGTTCGTGACGGCCTTTTGAACGGGCCCCGCAACCACTAACTACCACGGGACAGTCGGCTTGCCGTCGTTCTAGGCCATTCGCATTCAATCGATCAATGCTTGCTGCATCATTAACGCCAGCACAGAAAAGAATTATTTGAAGCTTTCATCACTTGTCCTTCTTCGTATCGTTTTTAGGCTGCTGGCGCGCCACGTACATAACTTCGTCAATCAAGGCTATCTACTGTATTTTTGTGCTAATAGTCGCTTAATTTTCCAGACCTCTATCTCGTGCCAGTTTTGTCCTACACACAGTGCCTGTCTAAAAATGGAGGACTGATTATGATATCAGGTTGGATTTTTAGTCCATTTTTGTCTCTTGCGGCTTTCTGACCGTACCACGTTTCCCTCACGCATTGGTTGTCGGACTCGCTGATAAGCGGGACCGTCAGGCAAAGATTGGACTACCCTAAGTATCGTTTGGCGTAGATTAGCCAAACAATTTGTTGTGATCGGTAGTCGCTGCCTAAGATTCTTTAACCTGCAACTTGACTAGCATTCAAATTCCGATGAGCTAACAATAACTCCGTTGAGATCCTTCATGAGACAATCGAGATTTGCCATCTGCGCGTCCAGCTCCTCATTGAAGGGCGTCTGCAAATGTATGTATTATGTCAAGTAACACCATCGAAACACAGTTGATTTCAGACGGAGTGGGCATACGTGAAGGCTTGTTAACGTACAAGTTGAAACAATTGAACATGTCACATCGATGCTATACGTGCTGCATACAGCTGGGCAAAAAAGTAACGTTTTTGCACGAGAAAAGTAACGAAAACGTAGTTGAATGGTAATATAGCTTTCATATTTTTATAGCATTTTTTTAGCATATTTTTATTGAACTTAAAGAACAAAAAATTCACATGATTTTTTCTGAGAGTATAGTAGATTAAGTCTGACATATCGGCACTATCTCTGCTAGTCATGCTACAAGTTATGTGAGAAAACGAACATTTCATATTTTCATAGGTAAATGAGAGTCAGCAGTAAATTAACTTGAATGTATGTATATGAATTTATATATGCACATTTTCATAAAGCTTAACTGAATTTCCGAGCAAAAGCAATCTATATGCACTCGATTCCTCTTCAGAATTATTTGAGTTGTTCAAGCCCATTAATACATAGTTTAGATCAGATTGGTCATGGTTTATGAGTTCATTGATTCCGCTTTATATCATCTTCGGCTGTCATAAACTCTTCACATGCAGTTGTACTCACATTGAGGTCGTCACGAAGGCCCGGCGGGGCTCCGTTGGGTACGAGGACTCGCTTCATAGCATGGGGAGCACCGGCCCCAGGCGCACCCGCGCTCGCACCCTTCTGCGGACTCCCCGAATTATGCATCATACCCCCCGCTGACGATGGTTGAGGTCGCACCACTGTTTCGGAAGCAGAGATGAGGCGGGCACGGGACGCGTATGATGGCAATGGAAATCGTACAGGAAATAAACAAGTATATACAAAAAAAATTCGTAATGTCACGATATAGTTTGTGCGATACCACTGTGCATACGCTAACCTTGAAGCGGATACGCTACATTTAATTTTTCTATCTGTAGTCTGCACAGACATTTTTAATCTATCATCTTGTAACAACAGGCGAGCGAATCACCCACTCAAACGTGTTGCTATAAACAAAAATGATGTTTAATTGAATATCGTTTGGCTTGATGATAAAAGTAACGAATTTTTCAATTACCGTTAGGTTACCGTATTAACATACGAGGCACCGACATTGACCCACCCTCGGTGACGGAGTGCGGTAAAGTATTTCTTTTGACCGCATAAACCAATGAATAGAGAGAAGACGGATCACATTAAGTCAAATTCTCGGGCACTATACAATACGGGCAATATACATCTCGTAAAATCGATCGCTAAAGCGTCTATTTTTCCAAGTCCTCATTGCCACTTGTGCGTTATTCCACCTGAAGCCTAACGTACTTTTGCTATATCAATGCATATCGAAACGTGGGTACGAAAAAATCGCCGACACATATTGCCTGTATGTCTGTACGCTAAACAAGTTTCTAATAAATCCGGTTACCCCTTAAGGGCCACCAGTTTAACTGTAAGAAATCGGAAAGTTAAAGGCAACAGCGCTTGAGGGGAGAGACTTAAGAACATGAGGTGACCCTCCCGATTTTTCCTTACTACTATGACCTGTGACGCTGGACGACTGATGTGTTTCGAAATGTGGTCGCGGCTCCTTATCTCAGAACGCGCTTTGTATCAAGAAAATCTGCTCACTATTTAACAACAACGTTTATGTGGTTCAGTAAGCTTCTAGTAGTGATGGAGCTTTAACTTATCGAAGCAATTTTCGTTGGGAGACAGGGCAGGTTGTAGCTATGGGGTCTCCATTAACGCCTCACGGTACTGCTGCTACACTTCTTCCCTTCTTCGCAGATGCTCCCACTTCATTAACGACAATCATCTACACAGTCAAAAGGTGTGCCATCTGCTGTGTGTTCGTTTGAAGTGGTAGTAGCAATAATAATTGTAGAATGCTGTATTATTAACACACGATAGTGAACGCTTTATTCTTCCGTTTTGCGTGTTTTGTCGCTTATTTTTCGATTTATTTGTCGCCGGATGAAACAGGACAGGCTGAACGCCTTGTTTGGGAGTAGGAATAGTGGTAGAGCAGATGTCGGACAAAGTAACCCATCTACTTGCCTTATGGATAGGTATACGACTCTTATAATTTTTGGATTACGTATCCTTACCGACATGCTTGGGCGGTGGTGGTGTAGATGGCCCGCCCTGTGTGCCCGAAGGAACGCTAAAACTTCGCATTTGATTGAAGCCTGCTGCGCCCTGTGCCGATCGTTGCTGACGACCTATCGTATCGTAGCCCGCTGTAAAAGGGAGACGCATAGACAAACAGTTATTATAGAGTAGAAGGCGCTTTAACTGCCTTAAAATATCAAATGCTAACTTAAAAATGACTTCAATTGTCTTAAATCGCATGTTCGTCATTAGGCAATTGAAAATGTTACTTTTTCCTCTATGCAACTGCCGTTCATTGCAATAACTTTTCAGATGGTTAGCTGTGGCCACGCATAGGTTTTCGCCGGAATTTCTCTGTATAAATAAAGCATAAACAATGAACGACTCGCTGTCGAACTACCGAGAGTTCAAGTATTCCCCGATCATGCATCGTATGAAAATTTCAGAGAGTTAAGGCCTAGGCGTTTCGGCGATGTGAAGCTGTTGCCCGTAAAAAGTCAGTTCTTCAGAAAACTGCTTCCGGACTAAATAGAGAGACTCCAGCGCCAGGCTGAAGTGCGCGATGTGTTCAACGATGTATTTCGTCGATTAACACTTTCACTGCCATCTTAAGAACAAACATGTACATATCCTTAACGCTATTGTCACTGTAAAAGGAATGCGTGGTTTCAGTCTTAATAGACCAAACACTTTGCATATGAACATTGTTAGTGATTTTAGTTCTAGCCAGTATCGAAAACAGTTTTTGAAACCCCAGTAGGTGCTTTTTCTAAACTGACATCAAAGTCCACGGTAAACATGTGCTCATCACCAGCAAACAAGAGAAAACTGGCCTCTTCGTGATAAAAAGAGCTGAACAACAAGTCGCGTCGCTTTAGAATGCTCAGAGAGCATCTGCCTGTCTTTTATGACTTACTAAGTGTACCTGAGATCCTCGCAAAGTATCTCACATATGTTACTTCTGCTCATTTGTAAAAGAAGCGCACCAATCAAGCGTGATTGCGGAACTTCATATTTGGTCCCGTCGGTTGATTTTTTTTAAGCTCTTCCAGTTCCTCGACCATATATGCTGAAGAAATTCCATCTCAAATGAGGTGTGTCAGAACTTTCTTCTTACTTTACGACGGCGATAGTCGGACTTATCAATTGGACAAGCTTTCTTCAAAGTCTATCCTTTATAGGCTGAGTGTATTATTGTACGTCGAAACTATCAGCATAAATTATACCATATTTAGCTGCTGCATGCTGTATATATTTTTGAGCTTGTGTAATTTGGCTCAGGCGAAGGCGAAAACTCTAGGCTGAAAAGACTTTACGTCTACGAAGTTTTACTTTCATCTTACTAAACGCGAAAAGCTCTAAGGAAGACCTCCGGCACGCAGCGATTAAAACACGCTTGGCCGAGATGTCATTTATTTGAACAAGTCAGCAAGGGTGACTCTGGGTAACGTGGCTAACAGGTATGCCGAGAAACAACAATCATTTAGTGTATGTGCTACCTACCCACAATATGGGGCGGTGGTGGAGGCGGAGGCTGCTGGTGTTGTTGTGACGCTAATGAAGCGGCCGCTGCCGCATTTGCTGCGAGCAGTGCTGACGTATACGAGGGCACTTGGCCACCTCCCGACATTTGGCTGCCGTGACCCCCCAGAGTATGAGCGCCATGGCTGGGCATCACCCCTGGCAATGGAGGCATCACGGTTTCATACGTCGAACTGGGTAAAGGATGATGTCGCTATCGTGGCAGGAACAAATAACATATAGCAGTAATGTTAGTGTTATCTTTATATTGCTAGAAAAAAAAAACATAAACGCTAGGCTAAGCTAATTCGGTGATTCGTAGCTGTAGAGTAATGGGGTTAGTTTGGTCGTTACTGAATGTAGACGTTAACCAAACTCAATACGTAAGGGAAGCTTACGGTAGAATTACACCGAGTTAGGGTGGCAGATACGTAAAATATTGTAATTGCTTAATTCATTTAATGAGTGCTTATTATGTCTTTTTTTTTTCGGGTGGATTGATAAATGCTCGAGATCTTCATGCTAAATGTATGTATTGTTATATCAACGACATTCATAAACAATTTAATGAGTCTAGGTTGTCGATTATTCATCGAGGGCATCGAACTGGTTCGAAATACTGTATTTGGTGTAGCGCAGCGACTTACGTATACAAAAACGCATGCTGCCTTCCTGTTTTAAAAGTAACATTAGCATCATGTGTTCCAGTCGAGCCCTTTGACAAGAGACGTTGTGCGTCGTCACCTTGAATACCTGAACCCAATTCATTTCTATTCATACAGGACGCGTTCCTAATCTACTTGCTTCTACCTTTCCAACATGAGAGCTAAAAAAGCAAGTCCGAATAAGTTTATCGTTACGTCGGGACGCTGATGCGCTGAACATACCCCGAGAATTGCAATCTAAATTTTTCTACGCGATTTTATACAATGCTAAAGGTAAATAAACTGATAGCTACCTAGCTTGTTGTCTCTATTTCAATTGAACCAACGTTACAGAGGCAAACAATTGAGGTCTGACGAAGTAGCAGTGAGTAAACAAAATGGTATTTTCTTATTCAGGTGCTTTCTTACTGATAAAGTAGTCAATCCGTCAATATGATGAGGTAGAGAGTCCATCATGATATGAGCTCGTGGTCCGGTTGAATACTGATTGCTGGCCCGCTGATGATATGGCCGACCCAAAGTAGCGGAACTACCCGGTTCAATTGATGGAGCTGTAATCACAACGATCAAGTCAATTCAAGTAAACTTATGCCACAATACCCAAAGATTACCTTGTCACATACGGATCTATAATACTTGCTTCTACGCTGCGTAGATTTGTCCATTCAATTGGAAAAGGCCACGGGTACTACTGCTAACTTATATTTCGAAGCTCGTGTCTGTTGTAGGACAATTTAGAGACAAGATTACCCTGGTTGCAAATAAGGACTATGGACATATTTAGTTCGTCGGCAATATTAAACAACGTTCCAATGTTGACAAGATCGGCCCTATCAACAGAAATCACTTTCGTACAGTGACCCTCCTGTAGCACTTGTTAAATAGTTGTGTGATTTGCGTAGCTTGCCGCTGTCTACAGGAAAAGTAATAGTCATAGTCTGAATTACTTCAACTCGAACATATGGCAACGAAAGGTTATATGGACACACATGCATTGATCTGTATGCATAACGAGTCCCAGTTGAATTGCTGAAAACGAAAAACAGGTTGAATCAGAACACGGATTAGCGTCTCTGATTGACGCCATTGGCGTAAGCGAAAAACCCAAGGCTGAGGTCTGCACGCTGTGCTGAATCAAAGAAAATAAATTTAAACCGCTTCAAGAAATGGTAACTAGCCACCGTAGCTGTGCCATTCCTTCAACATAAGTTAACCTCCAGCTAAAACAAACGCGCCAGATTGCCAGGGTCTTGTTTCAAAGACGCACGACAAACCGTAAACAACATGCTGTTAATACTATAATCTTTATTCTGTATAAGTCAACACGCAAGTACGCAATTAATTGCTGAATAAATCCAGTAAGCGAGAAACTCACAAGAGTAGAGTAGCGGTTTGAGGGCGGGATCGACCGAAGTCGGTCTGGAATGATTACTTGTGGGGTACTTAGGCAGTAGAGGCCGATCCGTGCGGCAGCTACTACTTCCACCGGAATCACTCGCTCCGGAGTCTGAAGTTAGCGACGTTCGTTGTTGCCCGCAGATGTTGCCCCACACAACAGCAACAATAGCGGAAGTGTTGATAGGAGGCGCAAGGCAAAACAGTCGAAACAATATAGCATGCGCATACAAGGTAACAACAAACCAAGAAGTTAATTATCGAGACTAAAATAGTCGTTGGGTGAGACGTTGCGGAGGCAAAAAATATGAGATAATCATTTAATACTGCAGGTATTATTAATATAGCATATGAACTGCAAGCAAAATCAGCACAGGCGGATTTGAGCAGAACGCAATTTGTAGCGATTTTAACAGTAAACGAAAATAAAGGTACGGTTCATTTTCAAGGCAAAGATCGGGTATTAACTTTTACCTATTTTCTTATATCAGGCCCACTTCTGTCGCGAAAAACATAACCTTCCATGAAGCGTTTCGATAAGACGGTAAAGAAAGCACATACCCATATAGAGAGATTTCTTCTTGTCTAAAGTGCCCAGATAATGATCTTCGATTGAAGAAACATCTTGCGAATTCCTATTTGACGTCACTCCGTCCGGTGGTAGATTCTCTCCTTTGCAAGTTTTCAATTCCATCTGATCATGGTGATGTATCCAAAGATCTGGCGGCTTTTCATCTCCCAGAGATGTCGTTCCAGCGACCATCTGGCACAGAAAGCGAAAAAGTCGACGGTTAAGAGATTGAGTCAGGTCACTATCAGAACACCTAGGATGTCTTTTGAGTGCGTGACGGTCGACCATTCTTCATATTCGACTCGGTACTTGTACAATTCGTGTTGGCCACACTTTTCGGCATTGAGTTTCATAGGTGTGCTTAATGAGCGACGTTGAATTTCCGTCGCCTGCGTTACTGAGGAAACAGAAGCTTAAATGTACATTGTACCTTGGACGTCTTGTCTTTTCGTGCGCTCTGCGTAGTCGTAGGATCCTTCCGACGACAAGGAAGTGCACACGCTGTTAGCAGGAGTAGAAACAAGATAAGTCCGACGCCTGCCCCAACCAAGAGCGTGACGTTCGACGCGAAAAGTCCACCTGTGGTTGGAGTAGTTTGTTATCCACTAACTCTCATCTACTTTAGTAGTAGAAACAACTTGTACGTTTTTAGCTGTACGTCCATGCGGAATTCATTGCATTATAAGCTATAATATAATTCTGACCAAAAGCTAACTTCTGCGGCAGGAGATTTAAAAATTATTCGCGCCAATTGGCGAAACTTTTTTTATGATAATCTACCTAAGAGAAATTATTGTCTCTTACTACATGCACTATATTTTGTAAAGACTATTCACATAGATAGCGTAAACAGCACAGCTATATGTTGTTAGCGAGACTCGAGGTAGCGATTTCTTGTATCTTTTAAATAAATGCGTAGCCCTTCGAGCTACCGCACTTTAATGATTAATAGTTTGCATCTGGTCAATTAGGATTGTGTAACGTTCACGAACGAAGCCGTCACATACACAAAAGTCCTGTTCGTCATTTATGCACGCATATACAGCTGTTCCCATATTTGCTAGCCTCCGCCTTTTAGCAAAGTTATTCCAAGGTTTGTAGAAATTATATTTAAACCATTTTACTTCCAAAAACAGCCCTACGTATCAAAACGAAGCTTCAAGAAACTATTGTATCAGGGAAAAACTTCTATTCATCTAGGGCATTTTAGTGAGAAATAATAGTTTGGATAAGGAAAAAGAAGCCTAGTTATGAAAAGCCCAATTCTATTAGCATCGCTGTTCAACAGAGAATAGAATTCGAATATGAACTTTTCATAAAAAAAAAATTCTGTCAACGCAAGAGCTGCGAACGTTAAGATAGAAAGAAATCCGAAAAACGAAAATGGGTTCTCACCAAAAGTCGTATTGGGTCCAAGGATGGTCGTCTGGAAGCCTGGATAGGTGGAATTGACCACATTAAGGAACGGGTTGTAAATTGGGTTGATGCAATGAACATATCCAATTTATGATTACGTCGATGGATAAAAACGACAACAACAACAACAACAACAGCGACAACGGGAACATTGTCAAGTACATATAGTTATAAAAACTATGCTTTCTAAAAAAAGTAAAAAATATGAGATGACACAGCAACAACAAAAAAAATACAGCGTTTGAGCCATTTGGTGGCAGGAGAAACATGGTATTTATTAGAAATGGATTGAACAGCGTTAGAAGTATGAATAGTATTTTAGAATTATGTTAACGAGGCAACGATATTTGCTAAGCGTGTACGCGACTCTATAGTAGAATGAAAACTTTGATAACCGCGACGTTGCCTATAACAGAAAAACCAGACATTTTCGAACACTCTAAACCCTTTTTGGTACTGAAATAACACGAAGGTTAGGATCTTTTTTCGCGCTTTAAAAATACATACCTTTAAGACATGCAAAAGATTTGCTAAGTTAATCAAAAGTTTTCTGCAACTTTAATTAACTCAAATGATTTTTCTATTAAACTGCATGCATTTTAATGCGAAAGCAGCCAATCTTACTGAACTTTAACACGTATAGAGTAATGTTGGAATTATTACTAAAGATGTACCATCTCAAGGCCATGCGCACTAAACACATAAACGGTTTCTACATGAAGCATGAGATAGGCATGTTATAGAAATTATTCCCTGAAGCCTTTAATGCTCTATGCAAATGTCATAGAACAAGACTACTCCGATGGAAATATCTACATTATCAGCCTAAATGTAAACCCAGTCACAATAATGTTTAAGCAATGCTTAACGGCGATATCGAGTCCTTATACGAAAATCTATTAAGTCGATCAGTATATGCATATATTCTACGGTCGCTGATACTATCCGCTTCCCTTCCTTCAAACCCCTTTTTCTCCAGCCTATCCAAAAACTCGACAGAGACATTCCCATAACATGGCCACTTTCTATCAATGCCTATCACTTTCCATATAGAAAATGATCAACAAGTACAGGCCGATAGCTCTCTTTTTTGCCTACTATACTTGTGCGCAACGTTGTTGGCGTAAAAAACATGCTTTCATTATTTTTCGTTAGTTTGCATCCACTTAGCTGTCACATTAACATTTTCCCCTAAGTAGAAATTATTTAATGTAAACTCTAAGTAATTGAAATATGGCGTTTGACGCACGTTTGCCTGTATGGTGAGCCACAGCGTCCGACATCGGTCCCGCTCCCTTCGACGTGTTCGCGTAAATCTTAAAGTAATATCTGTTATCTGTGTGAAGTCCGCTAATCGATGTTGTCAGTTTATCTCCAGAGACAACTTCCATTAACCAATCGCGGTCCTTCAATGACGGCTCGGTAGTATAGGCGATTGAATAACCTGTAAAACGCAAAGAAATACTTGACTACCAAGCCGTACCTAGAAATATCCTATTATCTTCTACGTGCTTAAAAATAGCACTTCATCAATATAGCGATAGAGGAAATAGCCTACAGCAAACCTTGTTAAACTTCGATTCCAACGAACTACGATAACTAACTTGCCAATGAAAAACAGAACTCTATTCGTGCATATCTTGCCACATTCGATGCTTTGAAATATTCTGATGTTCTTCGAAAAATTATTGTAAAGTTCTTTATAGTCTAATATACACTGTACATCATCGGTAGAAACTTGGTCCAGGCTAACGTCGACCTATCTTTCGCACCGCAACCTAAACACCCCAACAACAACATTCATAGATAACGAGACTGCACTTCGAGTGGACGAAACACCCACTGCCGTCTTACCTCTTCATTTATTCATTTGTATAGTTTTTACTTTGTTTCGATTCGCCCACTACTTGACAATGACACTGTCAGATAACGAGGCTAGAGGCTAGAGGCCAGAGCGTCATGTAGACACAGGTGTTTAATTATGCTTGTTGTGAACCACTATAAATGAACTTTCGCTATCCGGCTCTACGATACCGCTAAAATGAACACAAAGCTAAAACTCGGCCGGAAAACCTCTGCGATTATGTAAGGATAAAAACTGATTCAGGCCACTTCTAGCAGAGTTATGCACGTTTGTCCTATTAGGCTAACATGAACTTACTTACTCATACATGTCTAGCGGACCCAGATACACTTCGCGTGGTTTTCCCGTTATGTGGTGGCTCAGGGCTCTAATATGTTTTTATCTGGCGAAGTTTTGCAGGAAATTCAATTGCTCTCTTGGGTTTGAGATCGTTTACAATAGACGCATTATTACAACAGCAACAGTAAAGAAAAGCGAGGTAAAAATCCACGAGCTAACTACGTCGAACTTTTCTCTCTCTCTCTCTCTCTCTCTATATATATATATATATATATAAAACTGAAATTTTAGCTAGGCAACTTTTGGCTATCAGCGTGTTGATAGCAAAATCTAAGTACTTTCCCGTAATTGGCACTTAACAAAAGAATGCTATTGGGGTACTTTAGTAAGAGCTGTCTCTATGTAGAATCGTTCACTAACTTAAAAAAAAATACTTTATATGCAACTAACTGCACTTGTGGGAAAAACTGTTAATCGAGTAACATATTGAGCAGATTTAGAGCGAAGCCTGAATTTTGTTATAATATGCTTGTTATGCTGGAGTTTCGTTATCATCTCAGTACTAACACCACTGTTGAAAAGTTATGTGACGGGAAGTTAAACTTAACCCTTTTATTAAGGTTAAACAAATATTATGTAGCTTGTATAGAAACAAATATCAGTGTGTTGCTTCTCCATACAAGCTTTCTGCGACAAGGGATGCGCAATATACCATTGTCTCGTATGTGGGTCTCGATATAGAATTCACAATCGAATAGACACGGCCGTATACCTGATTCATCTGCCCAACGCGTTTGCAAGTAATCTCCCTCACTCCTGAAGATATATTTTGGTTTGTTACAATTGAGCTCCACAGACTCTAACCAAACCCTATCGATTAGGTAGGCATGGAGTATAAGCAAAGTTTATAAAGAGATTTTCAGTATTTCGAGTTGAAGAGTAACGAACTCACCTTTATAGAACCACCATTTTGCCAAGCTTTTGTCACTCTTCGTGAACTTTTTTAAATTAACTACAAACCCTCCCGGGCATGAACTTCTAACGAAGCAGATATATACACACACACTTCCACATTTATCTCATCTCCTTATTAGTGTCGTCAAGAGGCGCTGTTCATGTTTTTTACAACTTGTTTTCGCCTCCGTAATCTGTCCAGGTGCAAACGAGATATAACTGGGTTCATTCTACGCATTATAAAACATTTGTATAAATTTTATAACGATATGATGGTCTATGATGATGGATGGTATCGAACCTAATCTGGCCTTCGGTTCTGTAAGAAATAGCTGCTAACACACTCATTATAACTAGCTCTAATTGTACATCAGCGTAGATATTCAATCTCTGTTATCCTGATAAAATAGTAGCAATTGTTATATTGCAGATTTCTCTGCACCGTTGCAGCCATCATGCATACTTCGCCAGCCAGAACCTCGTTAGCATTCTTATTTTAAAATCAAATCAATCCAAGAACAGATTCGCACCGTCCTAACCTCATTTCATATATTAGTATTAATATCACTTCAAAACATACACTTTAAAATTTCATTATTTCAACTATTAAGTCTGTAAGATTTGGAAAAAAAGGTTGACACCAGCTAACTCAGTGGAACATTGGCGCACACTTTTCACTAAAAACGATTCACCATGCTCCGTTCCCTGCCTGTAGACAAAAAGTAGTCGTAAACTGAATCACGTGAGTGAGTGAGTGGATGGGTGATACGTACTCGTGATAATACCGTTGCTGACTTTTGGCGGACCCCAGTGAAGAGTGACGGTACCAGGCTCCGAGTCTTCGTCGATCGTAAAATCCCGAGGGGCGCTCTCTGGAACAGCTTCATGTGTAGTATTTAACACCGCCATGCTATAGGCACTCTCGCGTCGTCCACGTAACACGACCTACATTGGATTCACATAGACAGCAACGCGCCTATCGTAACCAACCGAGCGTTGTTTGTCAATTTCTTGAATACTATCTAGCTTGTTGAAGTACATCAAAGTCTACAGTAACTGGTTATGCAGCATATAGACCTGGAAATAACTATTTTGGAATTAAAAATTGAGCTAATTTTAACAGCGCCGCTAACGACAGACATGCTGCCAACTGAGGACGTACCGACACAGAGAAAAAAATCTCTTCCACAAGAAATAACAAACCCCTAGAAGCCATTTCGAGCTTTTGGATATAATATAAAATATTTAGTAGATCAATAATAAAAAATACGTCAATTGTCAAGTAGGAATAATAACCAGTACACGTCAGTGTTTATCATCCTGCCATCGCTATTTTTTTTGTATAGTTATCAGTTTATAGTAGAGTGCGTTTTAGTTAATGCCTCATACCGTCGCTGGAAGATTTACGTGGCCGTTAGGAAACAGGTCAGGATTTTACTGTTGAGTAGTTAATTTAACGAATAGGTAAATCAACTTGTAGGCTGACCAGGTTTACAATACACGTTGCAACGCTCTGTGGTAACGAATGTTGAACTAAGAAGCTAGTAATCGATTAAATTAAACCGTAAATAACTGTTTGAGAGTAGGATGGGTGTAAAACACGCATTCAATAGTTCGGCGGTCGACAACAGCGTGTACTGTTCGGTCATCTCAAGCATCTACTCGTAGTTAGATACAATGAACTACAATACGCGATGATGCTTTTTGTGTCCCCAAATGATATAGCTGTGATACTTTGTCTGCCTATCGTATATCCGTAACGTATCCAACTTACCCTGACGGCAAACTCGTACTGTGTATAGGGCCTCAGTTCATCGATCATGCAGTTAAGTTGTGTCGAATTGGCGAACTTGTACTTTGATGAGCTGACTGCCTTGTACCGAACTTGATATTGCCGATTACCGTTGGTTTGCCCTAGGGGGATGGTTGTGTCGCTCCAGAACAGAACGACCGTTGTAGGCGATAATACCACCGCTAAAATCCGCCAACAAAGGATTCTGTCAGGTATAGACAAATTACGATAACGCTTTACATAACTAACCTCAATCAATCCAGTATCGACTATATTGGCGACGAATAGGTTTGTATGTTACCTTTAAGGCCAACAGGTGGCACAAGTGAGGCCGGAGAAGTAACTTGAGCCTCCGGTAAAGTTCGGACTGTATCTTGAAGAGATTGGCCCTCACCAATACGATTGTATGCTCGAACGCTGATCACGTATTCCGTCATGGGCTCTGAAATTACGCAGAAAAGACCACACACAACGGACAAAATGAAGAAACATTACCCGTACCTACGTGCTTTAGGTGCGGATCTAAGATGTACAACTTTAAACTACATATGAATTCAGGACTAAATGTTTTACGTGTAGTGGTGGCTGTAGACGTTACTTAAAACCGTTAACTTTCAGCACAAAATGATATATTTGTATGCCAAATTTCCAACTCAGACCTAAACATGCCACGGGCTTAGTAACCGAACCCGTTACACCTTTTTTTATTCGGATTCATTTATCAACAATTTATAACCGAAAACAATTGGCACTTACGTAAGTTTTCTATTGTAAAATACCGTTGCTTTCCCTCGAGTTTTGATGTGTGCACATCGGGAATACCGGGTCCCCACCCGATGCGGTAGCCCCGGACCATAATATTTGTCTCTCGAGGAGGTAGCCAACCTACTGTAATGCTGCGGGATGATGCCTTCGTTCTTAAGTAACTTGGTTGATCAGGCACATTGTTCTCTGCGAGGAAATCAGTATGGTGAAGTAAGCACTAGAAAGTTATTCAAGCTACAATGACAAAAAATCGACCTACTATTATGATCTACACAGCTGCATGTTTAGCAAATAAATACTTGGACGCTTTCGACCTTTGTCCTTATTAAGATACAAGCTTACCCTCGGGTTCGGCTCGATAGCTATCGGTGGAGATCCAGTCGGTAGCAGGCCCGGTACCATTGACCGTGAGGGCAGCAATCTTTACCATGTATACCTCGCCTTTTTTGAGATTCTCAATCGTATGAGAACGACGGTTTCCATCCGTTGTGATAATTTCTCCCCGCCGACGGTCCCGTTGGTCCGGTTGCTTATAGCGGATCTTGTAGCCGGTTAAAATTCCATTTTGCTGTTCACGAGGCGGGGGTTCCCAGCGCACGATTAAGGAGGTTCCACCATTTACTTTTTCCAATGTAACGTTTTGGGGTGATTCGGAGGGAGCTAAACAGACAAGATATGCTGTATCATCTTTGTGTATCCCGTAAATTAAGAACCTTCGAGTCATCGGGGTATTTTAAAATTGGAGACTCCATAAGACTTGAATTAAGGTTGGTGAAATTGAAAAAGGAGGGAGTGAACTTGCAGGGAAACTTATTTTTCTATAATAAATTACAATGTGCCCGGTAACACAGAGGATATCCGTTTGTGTTAGAAGTAACGCACACTTAACTGTAGCTGCATAGCTGTGCTATTTTATTATAATACTCACTGTCGGAAAAGGTTCTTGCGACAACCTCAGAGGATGAGACCCCCGTTCCGTTTGGGGTGACAGCATTCACCCAGATCGTGTACTCGGCAAACGTAGTGAGGTTATCGAGGGTGAGCGGACTCGTTCGGCTTGTCATTTTCTGCTCCTCATGTACGAAGCTGCTTGCACTCATCTCCTGGTAGTATACCTCATAATAGTTAATTATCGTCCTGGGTGGCAATGCTGCTGGAGGGTCCCAGGTGACGGCAATTTGATTGGTTGAAATAGGATTTGCGCGCACGTTCAATGGTGGGCCGACAACGTTGTTGGCGATGTCGGCATTTGTTTCAACAGCAATTGGTTCCGAAGATTCGCCCATCCCGTGGGCCTTATCCACGGCCACCACACGGAAATAGTACTTTGTTGATGGCTTGAGATTTTTTATGATGATCTCATCTAGCTTATGTTGAGTCGTGTTTTGGACACGCTCACGGGTCGATCCTTCAGCTTTATATAATACAGTATACGTTATAATGCCTACAATGATAAAAAAAAAAGCGGCCGTTAATGCGGAATTGTCATGCGACCCTATTCTTACGCAACTTCATATGTTCTCCAAATAACCAGAGTAGTTACGCATCAATGGAGAACTCAGCCTCATCTCAGTAAAGGCGCTATTGCAAAATGAAAAATCGAGCATGTGCCCTCCGAAAAAGGCATTATTCTATACGTATACTGCGTTTGTATTCATTCATCTCTTTAAAAACCAACAATATCATTAGAAAGAAATACCGTTACTGCATCTATCTACACATCGGAATGGTCAGGTAGAACCAGTATGTACATATATGCTGGTCAGGCTGTGAGTTGCATCTCTGCTGACCAGGCAGGCGGGTTAATGATGCGTGAGTAAACTGAGCGGGCTAACTATAACAGCCAGAGGCGATGTACGTTTATTGGCCTTACCCAAAATTTAAATTCCGCAACGCGTCCTACTTCAGGTTTCACTGAATCATCACACAAATGCTGTATCGGATCACTGAATATGCAAAGAAATATATTCATTGGGAAAGCGCAAACTATGTACACGTAAGATTCAAATCGGCAAAGGCCTCCCGAACGTCTGTGAAATTTCGTTGCGTAAACCTCATATATGGCCAAGTGTATACGTTTATGAATATGATTTTGCAGATGATTTGTCCTGTTTCCCCGAGCCTGCTGTACCACAGAAGACCGTTTTTAGAGATAACGTTTGCTGTAAACGAAGTTCAAGACGGCTTTTATACAGTTGTGTCTACGCGTGTCATCCAACAACGCCAGAGGATCTACGTTACGAAAAATATACGTTATACGTCTACATAATATGTCCTATATGCTAGATTGCGTTCCAGGTTGCAAGTCATAAAGATGCATGTTTTAAATATTTCCTATAAAGTAGAAAATTTATATGTACTGCATCCGCTACTAGTTTCCGAAACCTTCAAAAGATATGCGAACGTTTTACGATATTCGTCGTTTGATCATGAGGCTTTTGCAAATGAAAAAAAATTAAAATGAAATTTCTAATAATATTATTTCTAATACTGCTGTAATATTAGAAGTTTAATTTTTACGCACCGTCGGCGTTGTGTAAAGGTGACTGCCATGATAGCGAGATAATGTTGGCAGTTACCAGTTGAGCAGTCAATCCTCGAGGGGCTGAAGGCGCTTCCTTTGTATTGCCCGGACTCCCGCCTAACGTTAGCGATGATAGTGAGCGTAGGGATAGAGTTTTGTCTGTTAGTTGGATCAGCGTTCATGAGCCAAAGGTTTGGTGGGGAAAAGTAAGGTTTGTGCAGACAGTGCATAGGTATTGGATAGCAAAGCATTTGTTTGTTATAAAAGGCCGATGAAATAAAGAACGAAATCATTTTCAGTCCTCACATTCCCAAAAATATTAAGGGAATATTGGGGGCGTAGTAATAGAAGAGAGGCCGAACATGATTAGAAATGCAAGCAATCATTGACAGGTAGGCAGGCGGAAGAAGGAAACAAACGAGAGGAAGTATATGAAGTAGAGTTAAATGACGTATGCGCAACCAGATTTGGCGAAATAAAAATGTACGTGAAGTGTAGTCATCACCCATGAAAAAATAAAGTTGGGTAAATATTTTAATGTAGTATATAGAGTGTTCAGTGGAATTGCCGCAGGAATACAGAGGAATAAATGGTTCAATAGAATTGTATTGACAGAAATAGTTGTCGTACATAAAAAAGCAAAGAACAGTAGCAAATAGATGAGGCCAAAGACATTCCGAACGAAGTTCGGATAAAATTGCGGTCGACATAGGGGGTTAATGTTTAAGTAAATAGAATGGCAACGTAGGCGGGCAGATCGGATGGGAAGACGCAATGTTGTCCACGGTGAGAACGTCGAGTGGACCGACCGCGGGGCGCGAAGTGTACGGAACCGGATGAGGACGTAAGACAAAAACGAAAAAAAAAAACAAATGAGAGAACAACACAATGTAAGTTATCGGCGAAGGGGACCGATTCAACGGGTTGGGCGGAGTGGAAGCGGCGGAAGCTTCATGTTCGTTGCTAGCCGTCTACATGTAGGATCAACTGTGCAAAGGAGAATGGGTCGGTGGCCGGCCGGTCCACCGGCCGATTGGTTGAAGGTGCGCTAAAGTGTATCAGTAATTTCGTCAATGGCCGCCCCACAACTCGAGCAGTTTCGCTAACTTTGAGCAGTGAAGGAAGATCAGCCCGCCGGCTAGTGGGTACAACGGCGCTGCAACCGCCACCGTTGGGAGTGATCGTGCCGCTGCTAATGCCGCCGCTACCGTCCAGAGGGTTTTTTGGTTCATTCAGCTGTTCAAGTCAGCGTACGTTGGGTAACGTGCACTCAAGCGTACCTTTACCTTCTTCCTAGGTTCTGTCTGACAATCAGTAGCGTTGACATCTCCTCATGGCCAGGCCAACTGACCTCCACAAAGGAAGTTTAAGACCGCCAAAGCTAAGGGGATGTCCGCGAGTAAAAAAAAAAACTGAAGTGGACCTCAATTAAGGAGTTGATAATTGTATTATATAAACCATACAACGGGATATGGTGAGCACCAGTCAACAAATTAAGTTGCATTTATGCTGAGCATTAGTAAGCTTGTGTGGATGATAAAGAGATACTGAAAAATATTACAATAATCTGTGCTGTATAATCAAACAAGGACGGGGGTCATAAAGAACCGACAGTAATATAAACATAATCAGTAAAGCACAATGTTTTTGGAGAGAATCCTTGCATGCTGAAATCTATAATGAAAAAAAGGTTATGAGATGATACCCAAAAGCAAGCAATTACAAGTAACGTATCATCAAATAGTCATTTACATGGCCCTTTGATCCGCAGAACTTTGGCAGTACCCTTTTATAATCTGGCCCAAAAATTAACCAAGATTTCAACCAATTCATATAGCTGTTCTGGGTTGAAAAAAAACACACTTGGGTTTCGCATATTTCTAGATTCCGTTTTTTGTATGTATTGAGAATATGATAAATCCAATTTTACTGATCATTACCTTTATCAAGGACAACAAGTTGTGCTGATGCTTGTGCTGTGCCAGCCTGGTTCTCCGCAAGGCACTGATATACGCCACGATCATTGTGGACACTGCCGAGAATTCGTAGGTTGTGTCCATTCACTAGCTGAAAGTAACCAGTGATAAGGACCGATTCGCCATTTTTAAACCATTGAACTTTGGGTTCAGGAACCCCAAATACGTCACATTCAAATAGAGCATCCTCCTTTTCACGCACTGCTTGAGGCGTCGGCTTAGCGCGAAATGTCGGCGGAACTGAAATACGGAAACATCATGTGACAGTCACAAAACCAGACGTCAGACAATAAAGAGTTTTGGTTTTGAGACCCCGACAAGATCGGATTAGCCTGTCATGTATCAACTAGCTAGTCAGCTGCCATTGTTCTAGTCTATTGGTCATATTATTAATTTGACAACCTGCTGTTAAATGTTGACGATTAAGAGACTAAAAAGCAATGTGTTTATGATGATCTAACAGTGGCGTTCAACCTGGCAAACCCCATGGCGCATGACCACCCGCCCAAATAACGTCTGCGTCTATACACTCAAGCCTTACAGCCCTAATTTTCAATCTTAAAATGATATTTAGCTACTTGTGGCTCTATCTCATAAAAGTAAATAACTTAATCAATGATAAACCTTAACGCGATATATTGTTGTCTATAGTCACGTTATTATTATTATCACTGAGTTGAGGAGATTTTTCAAGACTAACATACAATTATCCTTTTTCATTACATTTTATGTATATGCGCCACGATGCGACACCTGTTCACACCTGAACCGGTTTATACTGTCGATGCTGTTGCCGTCTTCGTCTCGATCGTTGCGTTGTTGTCGTTGTGGGCGCCGCAGTCGTTGCTCTTAATGCCGTAGGCCACGCTCGCGCACGCGCTATTTCGTTGAAAGAATGTGGAAGCTAGCGAGAAGTTCAATGCTGTCTGGGCTGTCAGGAAGTTGACAAAGCATTTGTCGCCTTTTTCAACGCCCACCCCGGCGGCGAGCGGTAGTGAAAGGATAGCCCTCGCGAATGATGAAACTCGCTTGGTTATCCACACATACAGACTCATAGACACACATACAAAAGAGCACATGAGCGTACCCACTTGCCAAGTGACCCAAATAGACGCTCCACAACTACGTACGGTCAGAACGAACGCCAGACACCCTCCACATTAAGAATGACGGAGATACGGTGCGATATACCCAAACCGCGTCTACATAGAAGTGCCAGCGGTAGAGGGAACAGCGCAGGTGGTACTACGAGGCACAGAGGCGCAAGATATCGCCAGGAGAGACCGCATGAGAGAACGTGGTCTTTACGTGCGTGTACGTGGGTATGTCTACATTGGAACGGGTCGGCACGGCCAACGAGTCCAGCAGGAACATCCAGTGTATCCACCTACAGGCTTTTGTGCAACAGCGGCAATCTGGGCAGCGGCAGGCTCGAGCGAAGGCAACAGTGACACTAATACCGTCAGTAGGAGTAGGGTAAGGCGAGAAAGCGTATTTTAATGAAGGGCATCGGCCCACGGCTAGTTCTACTATAGTTTATCATGATGGAACGCATCTGCTTATTAACCCAAGTGTCAACGACGGCAACAATAACCATGACGGGAATAGTTACACTTATTTATCGCGCGCTGAGAATGACCAGACATGGCGACACCTGAGAACTTCCCTGGCACACAAGGTGCATTCAGGACCTGACTTATTTCAGTGTGCAATACGAGTACATTTGCGCTGTGATTGAGCTAACGGAGGTGATGACGACGGTCATTGTAAAACGAATTATGCAAATACAAAAAAGATTTGTAAACGCTGACTAACGCCAAACAAGTTTACTTCAAGTAAACTTCTTCACAATGCTCACTGGCATTAGAAACATGGTTGATCCTGCATAGATACATATAATCTATAAGGATTATTAAATTTGTGAGAAAGAAGGTATACTTACCAAGAACTGTGAGAGTGGCGCTAGCATCAAGCGAGTCCTCCCGATTTTCTGCCCGACACATGTAGCTTCCGGCGTCTTGCGATTGGACACTCTCGATCTGAAGTGAACCTACGCCGACTAATCGAAATCGGCTATCCAGATTGCTAAATACAAACCAAAATTTTTATAAAATTAGACTATGCAAGTTCTAACATTTGCATTATGCTAGAGTAACGAAACATTATGTTAGGTTACACTACGTTAAAAAAAACTTTAAATTAAACAATTTTAATGAATTTTTCATCACGGATCGAATAGTTTTCGTAATTAGCCCAACAGACGTGGCCCGATCAAAAAAAAAACTAGTCCGTTATAGAAAAAAAGTTATTGTGGATTGTCCTAAATGGTGTCACTATCTCTTTAGCCTTAGTGACATCTAAGTATAACAGCCGTCGTAGATAATGCAGATGCAGATCCTGGGTATCTAAGGAGCACAAGGAACCCCCAGCATGCTAAGCGCTAATCCTGGATCGCATTAAGTCAATGCTCAATTGTAAGCGACGAATTTGTCAACACCAACCAACGAAATTTGCTCTAGCTTAATTTTCACAGTCGAAGAAGCGAGTCGTTTTATTAACTACCCATAAGATTTTGGTATGTAAATAAAATTATACAATTTTGTAACTTCTTTCTACATACCCGCAAAAAGCTATCTTGCATAGTGTACAAAATAATACACACGATAGCAATTACGACGCATTCCGCGTCTAACTGCGGTCAAACAAACGCGATAATAACTTCAGCCAAATACAACCGAGCTCGCAAGCCAAGCCCTACTTTATAGGTGAACAGGCAACAGTCTTAATTGTTATTTTAATTGCAAAATTTGCTTCTGTCTGATATAAAACTTTGTCCAAATTAGTTCATCTAAAACTGCTAACGATTCATGATAGACTATTTCAAATGATGACGGGAAGATAGACAGCAGTCTTTCATTTTCTAATGGTAAAGATAAATGTAATAGGGACTTGACAAAAGAATATAAGTCATTCAGGGCGCCTCGCCTAATAATATATGTAGTAACGGTGACGATATTAATTTTCAGATAATAAGCAGGCACGATAAATCATAGCCAGATCTCATATACAAATATGCACGAATATTAGCACATACCTCATATCGATTGAAGCTCCATCTTTTAGCCATGAGATATGAGGTCGAGGATGTCCATTGGCGGCACAGTCGAGGGTGACCTGGTCGCCCTTGACTGCACGCACCTGCGATGGCTGCGCGATGAAAACTGGCGCACTCGGTATACGCCGTTCATTTTCAACCGATCCAGGTTGAGGTGTTGGCAGTACCTTTAAGCTGCCCACTGAGCTCAGACGTACCTATAAGTATTGTTAACATTGTTTGAATGCATTCATTCGTGGATATATGCACCAAGAGACACCCCTCAAAGAAGATTCAGGTTATTTGCATAGTACGTGCAAACACAGCAGAATTTGTACGTACATACATGCTTGAAATTTACGCAGCAGCATGTCTATAGTAAAATAATTTGCAATCGTTGTATCTCTCAAGTATTGATGTGAGGTAACACCCTCCTTTCGAACAGGAGATCGCACTAGTACTGCTACATTCTATAATATTTTTAGATTAATGTTTTCTCAGGCTACTATGTTGGCTTATAAAATCTAGCGGGCGATGTCGGTGATACTTGACCTCTTATCAACAGATGACATATAGCTCCCAGGGTGTACAAAAACGGGGTTTTCGAGCCGATTGTTTCTTTATAGCTGATCTTTGAATTCTATTATAAGGAGTCCTGTGTATGAACCTAGTACGTACATAGTTAAGGAACATAGTTCGTGTAGACAAAAGGTTTCATCATTGTTCTCTTTGCTCTTTGCGCGTCGACAACAGTCTATGTCTCATTAGTCTAATGTTTGTCGTGGCCATTGTGCCAGTTTCTTTGTCTACGCCATAGCCCTGATCTATCGTCCTTGCGTTTATCTATTGTCCGTACACTGGAGCATTTCTATACATATATTATACATTAACAACAGACTAGATGAAAATCTATAAACGCAAACCTTGTCACCGGTGGTAACTTGACACTGGTATTGTCCTTCATCATGGGCTACGAGCGCGTCAATTTCTAGCGCTCCTGATGGAAGCTGCACCATTTTAAGGGGATCGAGGCGGAGTGGAGCCCCGTTTCGCAGCCACGTCACTCGCGGGGAGCGATGCGCCCGGTCCTGCGAGACGGAGCAGGGAAAAAATGCTGTTTGGCCCGCATACAGGCTCACGTTCTGAGGTTGCTCCTCAAACGTCGGAATCGCTGCGCAGTTGGCATACACACAGAAGTATCGGGGTACGAGCAAAGCGATAATGAGGAAACGACGGAAGAAACAAAAATTGTAATGCATTCAACATAGAGGGCATAGATAAGCACAGTTCAAAGCAACTTCTAGATCGCCTTAAAGTACAAGACCAAATGTTTTTTTGAGCTCGCTTAACGTGACGTTAAATATAGATATTGTCGACTTAGGATTCGTTTGATGCAAGCTAAAAAAGGTATATCTGAGATAATTGAATTTGTTCCTCTGTATAATATAACTGCAAGGGTAACTACTTCCACGGCCCTGATAGATCAAGCTACTGAAATGTATACTTAATCCCTATTCATAGATACATATATACATCTGATAAAATCTAAAGACAGTTTACATCCAGGTTGTTGCTGCATAAATGGTAGAATGAAGGTGTATGCTTACAATAGGTGATGACTAGTCTAGCAGGTCTAGAGATGATGGTCCCTACGTCAGGCAGCGAAGCAAGGCAATGATATTGGCCTTCGTCGGTACGCCCGCTTCGACGCTGGACTGAATTTAGGTACAATGAACCGTTAGCGTGAAGTCGATGACGCTTCTCGTCCAGCTCGACTGGCAATCCATCTTTGTGCCACCTGCAGAATAACGAAAACAATGGTTACATGATACTTCAACTCGAAATAGTCTCTCAGCCGGTGTCCTCCCCCCCCCCCCCCACAAAAATGCCCACATAATATGAAATTCTAGTTACTGTTTTCAACTTCAGCAATTTTTATTAACCGTCGCATAGAAGCATTTCGAATGAGTAAGGCCACTGCACACTGTTCGCAGTTCCTATAAAACAGATGCCACTTATCTGACTCCGAACATAAGTACCTTGAAAAGTCTTCTTTTGAAAAAAAAAGCTTCGAATCTTTTGCAGCAGTGCTAACCTTACCGCCAATTATTTTGTGGGAGAGCACTCTAGGCACGATCACGCTGTGAGTCTATAGTTTTTTTTCATGTTATATGGATTAACTTTAAACGTAGCATAGATTGATGGGGGTCGATTGTAATCAAATCCGTATTTTGTATTCAAGTTGAATGCATTTCAAGCCAAACATTGAGCTCCGAGGCTTTAGCTAGACAGAGCATGTTCGAGTATTCGGTTACCTGCGTGCGCGTGAATATGTTGGCATTGTTTGCTGCACGGGACTCAAGCTTTGCAGACTAGATCTCTAGAGGAAGTACGATATTAGATTGCATTTCTATCGGAATGCTCATACTGAGAGCTGCTTTCTTCGTGAACGGTAAGATTAAAAACATGCCAATAAAAGGCCCTGTTAGTTCGCAGGAGAATACCATTAAGCCAACTAGTAAAAACAAGCTGTGTTGTTAAACGTAAACTTCTGATTGATGAGTAAGGCAATAATTCTACCAAGATACTAGATCCTAGGTGATTAACATGTATTTCTTGAAATCAGTCACAATGATCAATGACCATTGCATTCGTCAATGCTACTAGCACAGAACATACGCTACATATCGCGGAATTCAATAGCTCTGTACGTGTAAACAGGCTGTGAAACGTTGCCCGTTACCTATAACTATAATGACCCATAATATCTTCTTTTAGCTCAAAAGTGCTGTGGGATATGGACAGCGATCGACCGGAGTCAAATCCAGCAATCTTCCCTCTACGTTCAAGTGTTATATACTGCTGCTTGGATAAAAGAAAGCTACGAGATCTGTCACCTCGTTTCCACTGCCGAGATAACTGCTTCAGTTCCACAAATTGCTTTATTATAATATATATGATTGTGACACGCACGCGCACATGCATACGTACAGACATACGTACACACTGACGTACAAACGGACACTCGAAGGAATATACCCACGTAGCACTTAGACGTCCCAGCTTTACGAAGCGCCCGCGTCAAGTGGCAGTCTTCACCACGGTGCAATGAAAATGCCTTACATACCCAATAAACTCTTCCTTTTAATCCCACCTCCCATAACCAAAACTACAGTTCATCCGCCGTTGCATACATATCCATCCAGTTGAAACTCTTTGTATTCAGCTGACCGCATATGTGCTCCAGCTTATTGATTTAGGTACGTTGTATTCCTTCTTTGTAGTTCCATCGGTGCAACTGGTTGCAAAGGGTGATGGCATGACAATGACGGGAATAGAAGATTTAGCAAACAGGAAAATAGAGAAAAACCGCTACAGTCCTTGTAGAGACACTTCTGCGTGACTCATATGCTGCTAGCAAGAAAGGCTTTTGCAAGGCTAAAGATGGACCACGCGCGACAAATATATTCGAGAACATGCTAACCAACAATGAGCCGCACGGGCAGATCGCTAGTGTTGCTAGTGAAAGCCGCGGATGAAGTAAGCACCAGGCACAGGCCGACATGGACAAAGACGGAATCATCTAATAACATTAATAATTAGGGGATTTGGCGAGTTTTCTGAAGGTAACGAAATAAAATTACACGCGCATAAGCATAACTCGAAGGAAAAACAAACTTAAAATCTTATCTTACACAACCTAAAACGAGTTAATGTGACTAGGTATTTTGGAGACGTACGAGACAATTTTTATTTTTCAACGTGAATTATTTTTGGCCGATTCCCAGCGCTTTCTTGGGAGATAAATTTTATAGACAAACCGCTTTATTTTCTGAGACTCGATCCTATCAGTTTACTTATATGTATTCCTTGTTGCTTTTTTAAATTGCGTTAAACGGTCCGACGGTTAATAGTTGATCTACTAACGTACCGGATCTGCGGATTTCCCACGTGTGGCGTTGAGAAGGCTGCGCAGTGAAGAACGACAGGTGCGTTTTCGGCTACCGCTGAATCGGAAGGCTCTTCGCTGAATCCTAATTCGACAAATGACACCGGCGGCATGCTATTGCTCCCTGAAAATAACAAACAGCAAATTATGCATTACTGAATTTTAAAAAAAATTACCATATCTACAGCCTCTTTGCCCACGTCTAGAATCTATAAGAGAAGCAGAGTAAATCCACATAAAGTCCATCATGCTCACAGACTACTCGTTTGTGAGACCGTAACGTTTTTTTAGAACCAAGCACACAAAAAATAGCAATATTGCTATGTGCAATGAATACTAATTAAAAATTATAGGGCCAACATAAAAAATTTAACGTATGCCGTAGAAAGCGGTCAACGAAATCCAAGCGCCGGCAGTTCTTTATCGCTATGTCTAGTTGTCATGGCCGTCATTTTCAGCTTTGTCTAACAGATCTACCCAAGGTAAGAGTAAGTGGGAGGCTTTTGGGTTTTCCTTGGCGCCTAGTAATCGCTCGAAACGTATATGCAAAGGGTACGTCTTCCACTGATTGCACAAAGCCATTTGCATTATCAGAAGCATGTAAGAGAGGATGTGTTCGTGAATAAAGTTCGCCAGCGTGTGCCTACAAAAGCTCACCCTACGCCTTGGGTGAACGAAGAAAGTAGCTAGTCGACTTCGAAGAGCAGGCAGGTAAATGGTAGGGTGCATATTACTCGTTTCATCGACATCGACCACTAGACGAGGGCAAAATACATAGGGGCGAAACTCCCTATTTCCTCTCTACCTAAGCGTCACCCACTGGCTGCTAAGTTGTCAGTGGTCATCAAGCTACACATTTTCCCTTTTCTCGTACATTCCAATATTCACAGGCGTCCTGCATTGAGCCCAGCCTATGCTTGACTTACTTCCCCTACTTCGGAGTTTACGCTAATTTTCGTTCAGATTCATAATAAGAACAAAGTTGTTACCACCCTTTAGACAGTTTGCTCTCATCGCACCAACTAGCCATGCTACCATAACGTCATCCAATATATGAACGTATTGATAGGAAACGCTTGCCTCACAAATATCTGATGTGTTTTTGCCAATGGGCAAATTACTTACGGGGGCAGCTTCTTGAAAAGTACAAAATTTTACAGTACAGCCAAGAATAATATAATTTGGGTAAATAGAAAATTACGTAACTGAGAGGATCCACATACACTTTTATAATGCCACAAGGGGAATTTACAATGATAGGAAATGCTATGTATCATACGAGCAGAAATTGTTGAATTTCAACACTTCAAGCACTGCGTACTAGGTTACTAACAGGATAATTTTCGTGCCTTCACCAAGCACGTCCGGTGTTTCTTCTCCTTTGTTGACATGCACTTAAATGCAGTGACTAACACTAATGACAAACGAGTTCGACAAATATATTCGACAGACCTTTTCAATGCTTATAGTGACATGGCGGCAGCAGAGCATGACGTCAATTTGTTCCGTTCTTACTATACACTGTGCTATGGCATTCCGTAAATGAAATACCTAAGTCGTATGTACTGCCGACTTCAGGACGGACCTGTTTCTGTAGAACGGTTCAACATTCTGTTCGTACTTGTTAAGCTTTTTTATGTCTATCATGTAGCACAGAATGTTGTTTTAATAGCTGGTCAGTCCACCAGTGCGAAGTGAAGGGCTCATCAATTCCCAAGGTTCCCAGTTCGCTCATTTAAAAAGAAGGAAAAGTCAGATGGGATTGGGTCGTTGGCAACGACTTACCCAAAACTACTTTGACAAACTCAACTGGTACAGCGGCCGATGACAGGCAAGCAAGCGGAAGAGCTAGCGACAGCAGTTCCATCTGTATAATACAGCATAGTGACGGATGAGTCAGGCGACAACACAGCTGCTGCTCCAGGAGCTGCAGTGACTACCTCAACAATTAATGCTACGGCAGGACGGTAGCTCCTCCTAAATCGTGCGTTAAGCCTTGAACACACATTCCAGCGTAGCCGCACTGCGGAACACTATGAAGCAGAGGGCAAACGTCCACAATATCACTCTCGCCGCTTCTTCCTCCCCCGACCTAAATTTCGGCCTCTTCTTGGAACCAGTCAGGAGAGATGACACCCTACGATATTACATTGAATAACGAGCCAGAAATCTCAACAAGCACATAGCCACCCTTTTAGACCTTACCGAAGGACCATTCGGTAATCGTGAAACAAAGTCTAGCCTCTTGAAATGTGGCGCCTATTTTTAATCGTTGATGCTTCTCTAATTTTTTCACACTAGGATTTCCTTTAATGAAACGAACCACGCTCTCCTTGAGCCTAAAACAAAATAGGTCAGCATACGAAACAAGTTTTTACACTTTTTACCTATTTATCGTTTATTTGCCTATTCATGTCTCAAGAGTAATAGTAACTCGTCGCTGTGTTCCGTTAGGTATTTTAAGCTTTTATACTGAGCGTTCTTGGAAAAATATTCTATAAAACTTCTAATCAATAAATGCTACATTCCCCGTGAACCAAAAGCAATAATAAGGTTTTCTAAAACGTTAACGCTTCTCGAAGCATTTTGTCACACAATGTTCATAGATTTATTGTACCTGATTTTTCAATTACCATTGCGTCGATTAAAGCGCAACTTAACCTAAAACGCATCGGTGGAGCCTGGCCGGCCCGTCCGCTTTCTGTTTGACTGTTCAAGCAGCCCCTGGCGCTACTTAGGCCTAAAAAACGCTTTTGTAGAATTGTCTTTTACATTTCGCTTGTACTGACTGAGTCCCTTGGCTAACACAGTTGGTCCCTACTCCAGTTGGAGCTTCAAAGTTGACACGTCGAACACACTACAGATACCTACAGACAGCCACCCCAACCTACAGCCCGACTAACCCAGAAAGCCTCTGGGCGGTTTAGTCAGGTCGTACACGAGTGGCCATTCCACTAAATGACTGAGCTAGGAAGAAAGGATATATTGGGGTGAGTAAGAGAGCATTGCCATACGGAAGTTACCCGAAGTGTAGGACCGGCGTCCACAATCCGAAGCCAAGTCAAGCCTGTCGCACGAGTCGAGAAGGGAACTTTTTGTCGTGGCTTGGGAGACCGTATTTTTGATCACGTCTCCTGTCCGCCGACTCCGATGCGCGTAGCCAAGTGAAATCCGGGTCGGCGCAGATGAGAATCCCTACGGGGATTTACAGCCCAGTCATCGTATGTGGCTTCCTTTTAAAGACTTATCCCTGCTAATGCCGCTGTTAGCACTATCACTAACGGCTTTGAAAATGAATATGACGATGAAGAGGCTTACAAAGTTATTTATACTCACATAAGTTTCCATCAGCGCCATCATGACATCATCGACGTAATGACGTGAAACCCATGCTAAAATTGGACAGTCATTATATTTGAATTTTCCTTGAGGTCTACATTTCTCAACAATTTATAAAGCAGAACAGAGTCGTATATTTTGCTATTTCCTTTGCCATGACGTTATAAAGTACCCAAGATGTGAGACAATAGAATATAATTGGTTCGCGTCTAACTTTAATCGGCAATCGGGCATGACTATCCCAATATATTAAAGGTTTCACCTTTTCAGCGCGCCAAGCAGACGTTGTTCTCTCATGTTTGACCGCATGCTTAAACATGATGATACAGCGCCCCTAGGGAGCCGCCTAGCAGACCCGAATGATCATCCACATTGGGCTTAACTGGCAAAACCAGTGATTAGGCAAAAACTTTTTACGCAAGAACAACTTTCCGAAATGCCGCCTTTACTTTGATTCTACTCCTACTCTGCTCTGGAAGGCTTTCAAAATAGCTTAGTTCCAAGACCCACGATAGTCAATATTAGGCCATCATTGTAAGTACTGTCATTTTCAGGCGTCGATTTCTATACCTTTATGAGTCGGTGCGGCTAGCCAGCCAGCAAGTAACTGCCGACTGATCAAGAAAGCAGTCAGCGTCCCTAGTTCATACCTAGCACCAGCCGTTGTCCTATTCGCAATGATTTTTCAAGGCTCATCGACGCCGCAGTTTAAGTTTGGTTTGCGCATGTGAATATAAACGAGGCAGCTTGAAAACATCGATGAAGTCTGTTCCGCACCCTTACTAGTACGGCTTCTCGCAGCTATCTCGACGCAGCTTGCCGCAATGTTCCCTCTGAGTCCCTCGCTACCGCTCATACGAACTTTGGCCATCACCTAGCCAACTATCTACCCAGCCACTCAAATAGATTTACGCGCGAATTCTCACGGGACGAGATTTTCACCGGCGACAGCCAATCCTAACTAGAACTAAGATGTTAGTAAAGTTCGTACTCTTGTATTATTGGTGCTCATTGAACGGCTTGTGATGATAGTGCTTGTCTAGCAGCTGCATCTGTTGCTCCTATTTCTGTTGTTGCGTATCGCCATTATTAAGTAACTTCCTTCCGTTTCCGTTCTTTTTCTCCGTCGTTCGAAGTATGCCACGTTACTAATCTTGCTGCGCTATGTTTACTAGCAACAGATAGATGCAGTACCATCGCTTGCTTTATGCTTACATGCGCCACAGCAGCACGTCGTGTCGCTAATGTCTGGTGATGGGTCAGTTTGACGGATCAGTTTCGCTCAACAAAATGCTGGTCAACGCTACCAACACGATCGCTATTACAATCATCATGCTTTTGGCGCATGCAGCGGACGTCAATATAGGCATCTTACCGCGTCATATTTAAACAGAGCGTTGCCGTACGATACGAGACCTACAAGTGTGATGCTATCATATTATGAAAGTAGTACACTTGGACTACTAGAAAAAAAAATTCATTTCACTACACATTACCAACCATAGCAGGCCAACCATAGCAGGCCAACCATACCAACATAGCAGGCATACACACAGTCACTGCAAGCACTGGACGCACCTAAGGCTGGCTTAGTCGGACTAGCACCTGTAGTAAAAATAACAACAACAATAGAGTGAGCAGGTAAATCAGCGAGGACGCTGCATCATATGAACACCAAGATATTCTTGTAAGGAGGGCCTACATTGTTCTTGTCGATAGCAATAAATGATGCATATCTAGCTTTCCCAGAGGTAAAGCACTAAAAGAACTAAAGAATAATGGGAA